CTACTACTACTACACACACACACACACACACACACACACACACACACACACACACACACTCTCTCTCTCTCTCTCTCTCTCTCTCTTTCTGCCGTATACATGGAATTATCATTAGCTCGTGGATCATGATATAAACATCGCATCATGCCATACTATAGTACGAAATCCGTCGCTCTACGTAACACGCATCGATAAATGCGGGAAACCTTGTCTAAATCGCCGTTTTTAATGTCGCCTCTATTCTTTCTTCTTCTCTCGCAACGCGTAGCGAATAACCTGATTACTGATGCTGTAAGCATGTCGGCACGTAACAAAGCGATGCGCGTTAGAGTTATCTAACATGTAACACACTTGTATAATACCTACGGACAACGCGGTATAATATAGTCTCTTGATTTGAATGAGAGTTTCAGGCAGAATGGAACGCGGGTCGTGCATGGCTAACGACGCTTGATGATGCATGTGTATGTGTGGTGAATGCTTGCTTCTCGTTATCCCGTGCCCACTATCCCCTAATTATACTTGTAAAGCACTTCAAAACAACTATATTGTCGACCCGACGGCTTCTGACAGGCCGCAGTCCCGATTCATAGTCCTCGCCCACTTGCCGTATTAAATTAGTGATAATTATGATCGCGCGAATATATGCAGATCCGAGCTCTCGCGCCCCATTCATTTATCGCCCGTCTTTTACGTTCTCTTAAACTCTTCTCTCTTGAAAACGCGCCCTCGATGAAATGGAGGGAATTCGAAAGGCGCCCACCGCCACTCGCGCGCGCGCGCCCTTTGAATCTCGGCTTCGCGCTATTGACGTCGCGTTGGAACCTCGCGTGGAAAGAAAATTTCGTGGGACTTTATGGGGACGACACGCGCCCGCTGTCAATTCCAGCCGACTGAAATTGCGCAAGCGGCGACGATCGCGTGGCGTGGCGTGGCGTGGCGTCCGGTCAGATGAGCGTAATTTCGAGGGCCACCGACTCTCGATTATCGGCGATCGGCGCTCATTATGGGCATCGAATCGCTTTGACGCGCGCGTCCGCCGTTTCGCGTTCAAGCGAACCGACGCATCGCCCACGGTGAATAACCGTTGGCCGCTCACACGCTCACTCGCGGCGCACGATCGCCCGGGACAAGTTATTTTACAAACGGCGCGTGCGATCGATCGGTCCTGTAACACCGCGAAAACCCGCGTCCTCCCCCCCCCCGCACAATCGCCGCGCTCCGCAATAATATACCGCCGGATGTGCCACGCTTATTTTCACATTTCGCGAGCACGCAATGCGGCCAGATTAAACGTGCGGATCGAACGTGTGGGTTTCACGTTTTTTGCATTCCCGTAGTTTACGTTTCGCGAATATCTCCGCGATTTTGTGAATATCGTTATTTCAGAGATGGATGGGCGATCATATATAGGGCGCGAGCGCTTTGTAAAACATCGGGAACGAGAGAAAGGAATTTATACATATTAACTACTGAGATTTTATTCATATCG